CCTGCTGCCGTAAGAGTCACTGGTCTCCGGGAAAGAGGGGGCAGTCCCTGCGCGCCGCTGCCCGGGGGTGAGGGGGTTTGCCCGGGAAGGGAGGTCCCTTCCAGCCCCGCCTCCCGCTTCCTTCCTGTCTCGTCTTCAGACGAAGGTTTCTTTGTCCGGGGACAGATCTGCCGGGCGTCGGCGCGCAAGAACTCGGTGAACTTCGCGTGGCGGCGTGGAAAGAAGTTGCAGGACGTCCAAGCCGAAAGGGCCACCAGAACGACGCAACGCAAAGGCTCACATGCTTCCGAGCGCGTCGGAACTCTGCCTCGGGCTTAGGGTGTGGGGAAAACGCGGCGGTGGAAGGGTGGGGAAGAGAGAGAGAGTGCGAGAGAGAGATTTTTTCGGGCCATCATCTTAAAGGCGTGGTTTTGTACTGAGCAGGGATGTAGATTTAGAATGGCGCTGGGGGCTGGTGACACTTTTCTTTTGTCATCCTCACAACGCCCTTGTAAAGTAGGCCGGTGATACCATTGTTACCCCCCCCTCCAGACTGCACAGGTGTTCAATACCTCTTATTTTAAACTTACTTATTCTGCTGCTAGATTTCTAGAGGCTGCAGAGAAATATCGAAGGGAGATGTTTTTTTAGATAACGGTTTTATTGAAGGGTGTGTTTTAGTCGTGGAAAACTTGGTCTAAGAACAGGGGGAAGAAGAAGAAAAAGAGCTATGGCTTGAACTTGGCGGGCTTGCTTCAGGCCATAGGTTTGGTTGCCAACTTCCAGGCGTGACCTGGAGTTCCCTTTGAGAACTGCAGCTGATCTCGATTACAGAGACCACTGGGGGCCTGTAGCTACAGTGGGACATCTTGGGGGCCCTCCCCCTTAATTTACAACCACCCCCCTCAAGAACCATGGGTGGGGATTGGTATGGGGAAGGAAACAGATGGCTTGGTTGCTTGGAGGATCGGAGGATTCATAGGGCTTTGATCCTTAAGCAATACCCTAGTGAATCAACCGTGGGAAGGGCTGGGAGAGGAATGGGGTGCCAAATTGGGTGGATATGAAGGCGGGGGCATGAAACAGAATGCCATGCCAAAATACAGCCTTGCATGCTTCAGCATACTTGCATATTATTTATGTATAACCTAGCTACTTGATCACATGCAGCGCTAGTTCTGGTACATATATCCAGGGGTCATTTCGTAGAAAAAGAGGTGCAGGGGCTCATTAGCATAACTTATTTGCATATGCCACGCCCCCTGACATCACCAGAAGTGTGTCAGAAGGCAACACCCACTACAGCTTACCTGGCTGCTTCTTGCTCCTCGTGGCCTGGGGCTGCTGGGAGCAGGGGGTGGGGCTTGTTGCATGTGCCCGCCCCCCTGGGCTCTTTACTGCCGGTGCTCCGCTCCTGTGCGCTCCTGCAGGAAATGACCCCTGCATATATCCATAGATATAGTGTATTATTTTTACAAAGCCCTTAACTGCCTCATAATGGTTGTCCCACAAGAAAAAAAAAATGCCCCACAAAACAAAAAATCCTGGCTAGACCAGTGCCTGGGTCCTGGGATAAAATGGCGGCTTCAGAGGGCAGACTCTGGGGCATGCCATAGATTGTCAGTGAAATTTACAGTTAGCTCAGCAGTGGAATTGGCTGCCCGGGGAGGAGATGAGCTCCCCCCTCCCTGGCAGTCTTCAAGCAGCGGCCGGACAAACACATGTCAAGGATGCTCTGGGCCAGTGATGGCGAACCTTTTAGAGACCGAGTGCCCAGACTGTAACCCAGAACCCACTTATTTATCACAAAGTGCCAACACGGCCATTTAACCTGAATACTGAGGTTTTAGTTTAGAAAAAAAGCCTCATACGTTAACATCTTCTGTAGCACTTTATCTGAACTAAGTGCTAATACGTGAGTTTAAGGTCAGTGAAGAGGGAAAGTGCACGGAATACAACTGCTGAGGTAACTACTCCAACCACTTAGTGACTGGGTTACTAACAGCGCAGCACTACAGTGCATACTGCCACTTCCCACACACTCTTAAGATACTCAGTAAACATGCAGCGAGCAAGCTTCGAAGAGGAAAGCTGTTGTCAAGGGTATTACAGTATCTGACTCCTAGCCTCTGCTTCGCTTGTTAGAACAACATCTCGTCTCGCAGGCCCAGGGGCACCGAGACTTTATCATTAGAGGG